TATGAAATGCACCACCATAGTTCGATTCCCACTATGGGTGCTGAACAAACCACGACAAGGTCAAAACTGTGGACACCTTGGATGCTATACCATTTGGGAAGCAAGGCTAAATTAATTAAAGACCATGATGCTGCGGCTCTCGGTCCGACTAAGATATGAAGAAAAACTGAGTTTCGAAGAATTCCGTAGTGATATATCATGACCTGACTTTCCATTTATAAGGAAAATTTGGTTTAAAGTAATTCGTGATGTGGTTTCATCAGAAACTGAAGGAGGATTGCCGCGTAGGGAAAACTGTTGAATTGTGCGAAGAAGTCCTCGGCTTACCGTCCTGTGATCCTGATGTCTGTTACAGTACAGACGAAAGCTTAGCACGGATTCATCTGAGTCTCAGGAAGATGAGCCGAGAACTTCTTCGCATAATTTAACAGTCTTCCCTACGCGGCAATCCTCTTTCGGTTTCTGGTGAGACCACATTATGCAATTCTTCCAACCAAATTGTCCTTAGAAATCGAAAGTGATGTCACAATGTGTCCAATCAAGTCGCCCTGACAACAAGACTAAGTTGCGAAAACGTGGTCAACTCACTTTTAAGGCTAAATTAAATTGAACTGCACTGTGAGGCTTACTCATACGATTGTGGGAAAATTTCCAGTTTTGCGGATGCGTAAAAGCGTATATTAGAGAGATTTTTTGGATAATCTCACCAGAACAGGTTCTTAGATTCTTTTTGGTATTTTGTTTACTGATATGTATGGTGCGTCCAGGCTGGAGTACTCCTTTGGTTACGAGGATAATGTGCTGAACCCTCGTCTGTCATGTCACTTGGCAGGCATCATCCGGGATGCATCTCGTTCTAAGGAGTTCTTCAATCTGGAGTAGGAATTAGAGCTCACGAAAACCGTATCAACTCATACGTTCCAGCAAGGTTAGGCAACGGAAGGCAAAGAAGAACCCGCCGTTGTTTTTCATTTAGATCGACCAACGAATCTCTTCATAAGACCCTTTTATTAAAAAGGGAAATTCAACCAAATAACAGTTTGCCAATTTGTAGGATCTATGAAAACAGCACCAATCTATAGATTCATAATCGTGCAAATTCAATATAACCTATCCACATTGTTTGGGTACAAAAAGGACATATTTTTAATTTTGAGGTCAGCTTACTTTTTGTGAGACGAATTATGCTCTCTTGCATCGCGACTGCGGTTGCGTTTGAGCCATCACCTCCTATCGCCTGTTTGATTGCCCCGGGACTAAACATGGCTGCGGCACAGTTCAACTCAACGACCTCACCAAAGGTCGCCAACACTGGTAGCACACGAAATGGTCGATCTTTAAGGCGAACTGCCGAGCCAACACGCTGGTGAAGAGGCATCGAGCCAAGAGGTTGAGCAGTACTTGGGCTCAAACGTCCGGCCGAGAGCCCCGGTTGACTGTACCTTGAGGCGAATGAAAGGTTGCGCAACAGGCCAGTCCTTAATCGAGCTAAGTCTGGACTTTTGAGTTGGGGTACGGGGATGGTGGCGACTGTGTTGACCCCGGAGGTGGCGGAAGGAACCGTCGAAGTCGTCGACTTGACTGTGCCGACTGGTTTGGCCGAGTTCAGCTCGCCAATGCTGGTGGTACCGACAAGGTCGAATGCAAACATGTTGGAATTGGTTGAGGATGCCTCAATTGCGCCGCTTCCTCGGATTGTAGAGAAGCCTGTGCTGCTCAAAAAGCAGGGGGCTGAGAGAGAAATTATAAAGCAATAGCTTTTACTGATAGCATAATTAAAAGTCGGAGAGGGCAGCTTCAGATTACGTAGCATTTTTTAATGTTAGGATACTTTTGGTATCTTAAATTATCAGCGAAGCCTTCCTCTGCTATAGTGGCAATATCATGCAACTTTTCAATTTCCCAGAGTTGAAATGACCGATGGAACTACATGGATAGTCTAGAAGCACAGGAAAACTGTTCACAAATAGGCAAATTGCCTATACAAAGATGAATGATGAACTGAAATTAATAACAAAACACTCTGGGAAATGTAAGAGCCGTATTCACCCT